GTCTCAGTGACCACTCCGGAATCTTCAAGTTGTTGTTTGGTCCATAGGAGTTGAGCACAACAAGCTGCGACTGCTACATATTCTGCCTCACCTATAGAAAGAGTAACTGAAATTTGCTTTTTAGTTTCCTATGAGATAAGAGATGAGCCAAAAAAAGGGCCATTCATGAGGTTCTCTTTCTATCAACTTGATACCATGCATAATCAGCATCAACATAACCTACCAAATCAAAAGAGTCTCCTGATAACGCTCAACTACACTTCATCCAATTCTAAGTGTAAGCGGTCGCTAACAAGTATAAACGCAACTAAGAGTTGGGGTCGATCCCACAAGGAGTGATACAGTAGAGAATTCAATCAAGAAGTAAAATTGTGTACTAACCGCTTGTAGAGGTAGAAGTTTCGTAACATTAAAGTAAATCACAAAGTTTTGACAATTATATCAAATGGGGGGGGGGGATTTAGTTAACCAATTTATGACTAGTAAAACAGGAGAAACAAGTAGAGAAGGTTTCTTGGGAGTGTGCTAAGTTGAATGCTAATTTCGCGTAATGGGTGATTACTAGTTACTCAAAGATGTTGAATCTCGGTGGGTAGGCTAGGTTAAGAGTGCAATAGCCATTTCTCAATCAACTATTGCGAATCAAGTGAGTTCTTTCGAACCTCAACAGGCAAAGCACAATCGAACAACCCAATACCTTAATCAATCCACTTTTTTAAGCTAGATTTGCAATATTGCATTGAAACCCACTTTCTCAAGCTAGATTTGTAACAATGCCATCAACACAATCATCAACTAATAATTCAACTTTAACACTTCTTTCTCAAGCAAGTATCGAGTATTAAGCTAGAATTGTATTTGCAACTACAATTCCTTAATTAAAAAGTATGAATAATTAATTGAAACCATTTCAAATCAACAATAAAATCAGTAACTAACAACACCCATTAGCTAATTAATGTATTCAACTACATAATCACACCCCAAGAATGAGCATTTTATCCAAATATAGTAAATAACAAGAAATCATTACCAACAACGTTTTCCATCAGGTTTGACAATGATCCGCAAGTCTCCAAATGCTAGAAATTAAGCTAAAAGTTTCACAAACCTTAAATCTCTCCACAAAAATGTAAAAACAATGTTCTAGAATGTAAAAACTCAAAAACCTAGAAGTGAACAATGTTGGAACTCCTTCTCTTCTTTTGAAAATTGCATTTATTGGTTCCCAGAATTCTATCACGGAGTCAACTCGGCGAAGTGATTCGGGCTCGCCAAACTGTCGAGTGCTCCTCTTCTCACCTTTTTGGTGTGTCTTTTTACCAATTTGTTCTGTAACTTTTGGTGAAGTGAGTCATGCTTCATCGAACTGGTCGGTGATGCGCTGAGTGTTCCTCTTTTCGCCTTCTTAGCGTGGATTTTCACCACTTCTTTCTGTAACCTTTGGCAAGCTAAATTGGCATCACCGATCTCTTTAGTTTGTCGCCGAATTACTTGTTCGATTGCCAAGTTGTTTTTGTTCACGAGGTGGCATGCTGGGTCTTTAGACGAGTTGAAGTTCCACTCGGCGACTTGCTGAGTGGCTTTGGAGAGTACCAACTTTTCTTTCCTTTAACTTTTTCAGCTTTTTCGCTCCTATTTGCCTTGTAATGTCCTTGCCTTACTCTTTTGCCTTCATTGATGCATATTAACATTTTAATATCACTTATGAGCATAAAATAGGCATTGAGGACACTAAATCCCTGAATATTAAGCCTTAAATGAGTCAAAATTCTGACTCATCAACACCCCCAACTTACGCTTTTGCTTGTCCTCAAGTAAAACACAAGATCAATCAGGCCAATAGGGATGTCTACAAATAGTGCTACTTGAGACTCAAAATGAATGCATATGAGGTTTAATCTACAAATGCAATGTTCAATTGTGCATTAGAAGTTTCAAACCATGACTAGCCAACATAAAATAGAGATCAAGCTCACAATGCTCGCTTCAAATGCAAATTCCAGTTCAACAAGAGTATTAGAATCCCCTCACATCACGATACCCCTTTTGTTTCCACCAATGCAAAAATCAAACTTCTTTTTCAATCTTTTTCTTTATTTCCCCTTTTTTTTTTTTATATATGGAGGGGTTCCATTTTTTTTCAACACAATTCTTCAAGGGTGAATTTCACAAACTTCTTGCTCAATTTCTTTCCTCATTTTTCACCACACCCCCAACTTAGGATTTTGGCCTAAGTTAGCTATCCAAACAAACCAAGGCTTCATGAAGGTTTTAGATGGGGAGGAAAAAGCCAAATGTTGTTCGTGTTTCATCCAAAGAAAAGGTTAGGCTCAAATGGTGTCAAGCTAGGTTCACACTCTCACAAGGTAGTCACAATGAGGTATAATAACAATTTGGTTCACTCTTAAAAATTTGTGCCTAAGATCTAATGCTAGTCAATTGGACCAACGGGGCAAGTTCTAGGTATTACCAAGCACATATTTCAAGAAAACCTCACCACACAAGGCATTCAACACAATCACCGATCATGACTCTACAAGTTAAGCTCGCGTGCAATGATATTACAAGACTCACTTCGACAATCGACTAGTCACAATGAGATTCTAAGAGTTCACACATGACTTATGCAACTCAAATTTTGCCTCATTGGACTTGCACAAACATATCGTTCAATAAAGAGCACTATTCAAGTCATCGGTATTGATCACAGCCAATACTCAAATATGCAAAAGAACAGCCACAACATTCACAAATTAAGAATCAAATATGAAAGAGAACAACCACATCATTCACAAATTATGAACTCATGAGGCGGATCACTGAGATCTTCACAAACCTTCACACACCTCCCGAGAAAAACTATGCAGTGCCCTCAGTGCAAATACAACTAATTTAGCTAGAAAAATAGGAAAGTAAGGACCATTGAATGAGAGGATTAGAGTAGGAGAGACTCTTCACTTCACGCCCAATCAGTGAACTATTTCCAAAGATGTCGAACCATTCGGTAAGCCACCGAGTGGAATTTGGCTCGCCAAAATTTACAAAAAGTTGGCCCTTCAATTGGAGCAGAAAGGCGAGAATTATTGGCCTCTCCGATTTAGTTTGGCGAGGCGCCGAAAATATAGCAGCTCGCCAAATTTTCCAGAATGAGTCTCCAATCTGGTCCTAGGAAGAGCGATGCACTTCAGCGACCTGGGGGACCAATTGGCGATTCGCCAAAGGATCAGTCCACCGCCTAGTTGCCATTATTTCAAAATGAGGGTTTCAACCTACACATTGAACAACCGTTATTCAAAAACAACTAAAACTTGGGTTGCCTCCCAAGCAGCGCCTTAGCTAACGTCGTGACACGACGTGGAAATGCTTTCAAGCATATTCCAAATACACAACTTCAATTATTGATATATCCAGACATTCTCCAAAATAGAGCTTCAAGCGTTGCCCATTTACTTTGAATGCCGATCCTTCATTGCTTTCAACTTCAATTGCCCTATTTGTGAACACTCGAGTTACTTTGAACGGGCCTGACCACTTCGATTTGAGTTTACCTAGGAAAAGTCTCAAATGAGAGTTATAAAGAAAAACAAGATCACCAACCTTAAAATCTCACTAAACGATTTTAGCATCATGCCACTTCTTCATTTTCTCCTTGTAAAGGGCTAAAATCTCATATGCCCGCAGTTGAAACTCTTCCAATGCATGGAGTTGATAGACTCTATCTTTTAAAGCGTCCCCCAATTCAAGTTTAATGTCTTCAATGCCCACAATGTTTTGTGTTCTAGCTCAATTGGTAGGTAACAATACTTTCCAAATACCAATTGGTATGTTGACATGCCAATCGGAGTCTTGAAAGAGGTGCGGTAAGCCCAAAGAGCATCATGTAGCTTCCTAGACCAGTCAATCCAATTTACATCGACTATTTTTGCCAGAATTCCCTTCATTTCTCGATTTGATACTTCAACCTGCCCACTTGTCTGTGGATGATAAGGGGCAACAACTTTATGCTTAACTCCATATTTTCTCAACAATGAAGTAAACAAACGGTTGCAAAAATGAGATCCTTCATCACTAATAATTGCACGTGGAGTACCAAACCTTATGAAAATATATTGCTTCAGGAATTGCACAACACTCTTCCCTTCATTGTTGGGTAAAACTATAGTCTCTACCCATTCAGAAACGTAGTCAACCACCACCAAGATATACTTATTTCCGTAAGAGCTCACAAAGGGTCCCATGAAGTCGATTCCTCAGACATCGAACAACTCCACCTGTAGAATAAAATGAAGAGGAAACTCATGCTTTCTTGACATCCCTCCTTGCTTTTGGCATTGAATACATTGTTTAACAAGAGAGTGTGCATCTTGGTATAATGTTGGCCAATAATAACTACTTTGAAGCACTTTGACGGCTGTGAGCACCCCGTTATGATGTCCATCGAATGTCAACGCATGGAGAATTGCATTTACCTCAACTTCCGGTACACAACTTCTAATTATGTGGTTTGCGCATTCCTAAAATAGATACAGTTCATCCCAAAAGTACTTCTTCATATCAAATAAAAACCTCTCCGTTTATAATAATGCAACCCATCAGGAAGGATCCCAAACACCACATAGTTTGCGAAATCAGCATACCAAGGTGGATTGCCATGAGTGACCATCATCACCGACTCATCGGGAAATGCTTCCTCAATGTCCCTCTTACCGGGAACAACATTAGTTTCCAGCCTTGATAAGTGATCTGCCACTTGGTTCTCACACCCTTTTTGATCTTTGACCTCGAAATCAAACTCTTGCAATAACAATTTAACCTTGGCTTTGCAACTTTCTTAGCCATCAAATATCGAATTGCAGCATGATCCGTGTGCACCACCACTTTAGTACCCAACAAGTACGCTCTAAACTTTTCAAAGGTGTACACCACTGCTAACAATTCTTGTTCAGGGACGGTATAATTCTTTTGAGCTACATTTAAAGTCTTACTCGCATAATCGACTAGTGAAATAGCTTGCTTTTTCGTTGACCAAGAAGAACTCCCAAAGCCACACCACTTATATCACACATTAGTTTGAATGGAATACTCCAATCGGGGGGAACAATGATCGGAGCTGACACTAGTTTTTCTTTTAAGAATAAGAATGCATTGAGGAAAGCTTCATCAAAATTGAAAGTGGATTCCTTTTCAAGTAACTTACAAAGGGGGTAAGCTACCTTAGAGAAATCCTTTATAAACCGTTTGTAGAAACCTGCATATCCTAGAAAACTCCTGACGCCTTTCACTAAAATGGGTGGAGGTAGTTTAGCAGTAACTTCAACTTTAGCTTGATCCACTTGCATTCCTTCTCTTGATATTTTATTCCCCAAAACAATACCTTCTTCTACCATGAAGTGACATTTCTCCCAATTTAGAACAAAATTGGTTTCAACGTATCTTTGCAGTACCTTCCCAAGGTGATCAAGACACACTTCAAATGAATTACCCACAACCGAAAAATCATCCATAAAGACCTCCATTGAGTTTTCAACCATATCGGTGAAAATAGAGAGCATACATCGTTGGAACATTGTCGGCGCATTGCACAACCCCAAAGACATTCTTTTGAAAGCAAATGTTCCGTAGGGACATGAAAATGTTGTTTTTTTTACTTGGTCTTCTGGTGCGATAGAAATCTAATTGTACCCGGAATAACCATCTAAGAATAAATACCATCCACACCTCGCAAGACTATCAAATATTTGGTCCATAAAAGGCATTGAAAAATGATCTTTCTCGGTCCATGCATTCAATTTTTGGTAGTCCATGCATACACTCCAACTGGTAACCGGTCTCATTGGTACAAGTTCCTCTTTTTCATTTGGAACCACCGTGATACCTCATTTCTTTGGTACACATTGCACGAGACTTACCTAATTGCTATCCGCAATAGGATATACATACCTGCATCGAGCCACTTGATGATTTATTTCTTTACGGTGCTCAACACTTGGTTTGCATTCACAATCCAATTGAATTTTATGAGTACAAATCCCGAGGGAAATTCCAACAATATCATCAATTGTCCATCTGATGCCCTTAATGTACCATTTGAACATATTTACAAGTAGTTGCACTTTCCACTCAAACAGACCTGCGGCAATAATGAGGGGCAAGGCGTTGTTTGCTCCCAAAAATACATACCAAAGATGAGGTGGGAGCGCCTTCAACTCAATCTTGGGTGGTTCTTCAGTGGATGGTTTAGTAGGGGGACTTTCCCGATTTTTAAGATTAATATCGAGCTTTAATGGATTTTTAGAATAAGAACCTAAACCCGATAGAGCAGCCACAACTTCATCATAATTTTGAATCTCTTCCCTATCATAATTCAAAAGTACGACATCTAGGGTCTCACCCACACAAAACACCTCACTCACACTAGCCACTGCTTTGTCAATTACACCAATGGTTGAGACCACATGAATGTCACTAGATTGCTTCATCGATTACACACATTGAAGGTAACTTCCTCATTATTTACACGAAATTTTAACTCACCCCTTTCAACATCCATAAGAGCCCTTTCGGTAGCCAAGAATGGCCTACCTAATATAATAGGTACTTGACCATCAATCTAGTAGTCAAGAATAACAAAGTCAGCCAGAAATATAAATCTATCCACTTTCACCAAAACACCATATAGTATGCCAATAGGATCCTTGATAGATCGATCGGCCATGAGAAGACGCATCGTTGTAGACTTAGGCTCACCTAACCCAAGTTGTTTGAAAATGGCGTATGACATCAAGTTAATAATTGCCCCTCAAGTCACACAATGCTTTGGTGAATTGAAATATCCCAATAGTACATGGAATAGTAAATGCCCCGAGTCAGCTTTCTTGACGACTACGTTGCTTGTTATAATGGCACTACAACTATGAGACACCTCAACCATTTCAAAATGCATATTCCTCTTCTTAGTGACCAATTCATTCATGAACTTTGCATAACCTGACATTTCCAACAATGATTCCACTAAAGGAAGATTTATACACAAAGTCTTGAAAACATATAGAAACTTTTGGTACTTTGCATCTTCATCCTTTTTTTTTCAGTATTTGAGGGAATGGTGGGTTGACGTTGGGCAATAGTTTTTTAGGTGTTGACGAAGAAGCAGCCCCCTCAGTTGATGATTGCAAATCCCGGTGATGGGTATTTTTGGGACTTCATCAACTTTTTTGGGTGTGTCATTTTTCGGTTCTTCGCCAAACCCTTTTACATCAATGGCATCATATCTTTCTTTACTAGTGTTTGCCTCACCATCGACTTTAACATCACCACCCACTGCTTTTCCACCCCGAGTCAACATCTCCAAGCATTTTTTGTGATTAATTTTTGAACTCACCATCGTATCATTGGCGCGACTCTCTTGCGGTTTAGAATCTAGTGTGGCTGAAAGTTGGATCATCTTGGGATTCAAGTTGCTTGATGAAGGCCTGCTGGGAGTTTACTGTCTTATTTAAGGATGATAAATCCACCTTCATTTCCTTGAGAATCTCATCGGATTCCTCCAATTTATTTAGAATACAAGACATTAAATCCTCGACTCAAAAGCTCATGGAACTATCCCTAGAATTCGGACTGCCACTAGCATGTGCAAAGCAAACATCAACATCGTCTTCTTTTCTCCAACATCTATACCGATCAGACCAATCTTCATTGTTCTCTCTCCAACTCAATATGTTCCAACCTTGATTCCCGTCCGGCCTTAAACAGTTCAAACAAGAACCCTCCTCTAGTCTTGACATTAGATGTACCTCTTTGTTTTCAAATATTTCTCCAGCTGGATTCATAGCTTCATAACCACTCCCCGTGACATGTTTTGTCAACAATGTCATTTGAGTTATCATTTTGGCCATGTTGTCATCTCGCTCCTGGTTCTTTTCCAATTGTTCTTTTGCTAGCCCAAAGTTCAAAGGAGACACCTGATCTTCTCTAGTGTACCAAGCACGATTGATTTTTGTCATCTCATCAAGAAGGACTGATGCTATGTCAAATGGTTGTCTTATGATTCCTCCTCGAATGAGTTGGTCTTCCACACATTTGTTTACCGAGTCGAGGCTCCGATAATATATTGTAATTGTAGCACCCCGTATTCTAGAAAGACCAAATTTCAGAATTTCAAAAGTTACAGGTGCCACCAACGGGGACCACCTACAGACCGTAGGTTGAACCACAGACCGTAGGTAGGGTCCGTGGTTGACCACATCCAATCCACCCAAAAATTTCAGAAAGTGTCTAGAACCACGCCAGGACCTACGGACCGTAGGTGGGACCATGGTCCGTTGCTCAGACCTCAGTTCCCAACTCTCTGAAGCCAAATGACGAGATGACATGATGGGCCGTAGGTCCATCGGTCAGGCCTGCCGTTAGCCCCAACAACTTTTAAGTGAGGGTCATTTTGGTCTTTTCCCTTATGCGTTGGACACCTAAACTACATCGTTTAACCCCCAAACTACGTAGTTTTTATTAGTATAAGCCTAGTAACTTAATCAGATCTTTCCCTAAGTGATTCATTCATAAAAAAATTGATCAAACCAGAGCAAAAGGAGAAGAAACAGGCGACCCAAAACCCTCCAAGAACGCAACAAGTTTTCTTTAGTTCCAGCCCCGAAATCGAAAGATTTATCCTTGAAATTCATCACCAGGTATATGGGATTTCACTAGTGGGTTCCTTTCACCCATTAGATCCCTAGAATTCAGTTAGATTCTTGATTCCTATATCTTACTTAGACCTACGGTTTCTAAAACCTTAGATATCAGCTGTGATTTAGTTGTTAAAGGATTCCTAATCAGATTATCATGTTTTTGTGGAATCGTTGCTTAGTTCTTTTCATGAAACTCATAACCCTAGTTGTGTAGATTCGTTTAGTTCATGAATTACTCTAGATAGGACAGATAAACGTGTATACATGCCTCAGATTTCAAATGTTTCATTATCAGTACTTAAATGTTGCATTTTCAGTTAGCATGTCAGAATATTGAGCTATCTAGTATATTTCAGTTATGTTGTATTGTACACATTTCTAGTTGGAAGTAGGCTTAACACCGAGTTAGACTAGGGCTAGTCGCGTTCATAGTCCATGAACTACGTGCCCTTATAGGTTTATAAGTCCCCTCTATTGGGCATCAAATTTAGTGATCTCGCCAGTCATGCCTTTATACCCCTGTCAATGTATATTGGGTCCTCTCGATGGGGCGTATACATCGGACTCCATGTTCAGTTCACGTGGTTTTATGTCAGTTTATAGTAGTTCCCATAGTTAGACTCTAGTGCATTTGACCAGGTTTTAAGATATACTTCAGTATTTAGTCTCAACATGTTATGTACTTGGTCATTGCATTCAGTTTAGTTCATATTCAGTATATTTTAGCATCTCTATCATGTTCAGATTATATCATTGCTTAATACGCTTTGTTTAGTTATATGTTTGTTCAACTTTATCCTATCATGCATGCTCATTAACTTTCAAGTACTGATGCATACTCTGCACTACATCTTTTCGTGATGTAGGTTCAGGTCCTCAACATTCAGATCACGTGTAGATTAGTTCCCGATTCGTATTCAACATCATCAGTGGCGAGTTCTCATACTTTGAGGATAATAAACATGTTTTCTATTTCAGTCTTTCATTTTAGTTTCAGTTTTTATTAGAGTTAGCCGGTGGCATGTCCCAGCATCTCTAGTCAGTTAGAGACTTATTTCAGACATAGATAAATTCAACTTTAGTATTTTGAGTTTTAGTCCAGTATCATTAACTCTTATTCAATATTTATATATATTAAGATCTATTTTGGGTATTTCCCATCATTCAATTTATCTCATGTTTTAAGCTTCTGCAGAGTGTCTTTTGTTCAGTTGTTTAAGTATACTTTTGATATGCCAGCTCACGATTAGCTTAGGGTCACTCGTGATCCTAGGTCCCGTGTTTACGTCTAGGGGGTAGCCTCGTGGCGTGACAAACCTTGTATCAGAGCATTAGGTTTAAGAGTCTTAGGATGTCTGAGAAGCCGCACTAAGTAGAGTCCATTTCACGAGTGTGAAGAGCGCCACACCTATGAGGGGGAGGCTACGAAGTGTTTTAGGAAAAAAATCACTTTCTTGTTATTCTTTTCGTGCATGGGTATGATCTCCTTTATAATTTGACGTTATGCATTTCAGATCATGGCTCCTTATAGAGCTTACCCAAGGAATGCTAATTCCCGCAACGCTAATGCAGTTCCTCCAGTCCCAAACCATGAGGTTTCGAATGCAGAGTTTCATAATGCTATCCAACTTTTAGCTCAAAGTGTGGCCAATCAAAATAACCAGGAGGTTCCAATCCCTACAAATACTAGTGGTGGATCAGTGGCAGCTAGGGTCTGGGATTTTGTTAGTATGAATCTGCCTGAGTTTTTAGGGTCGCAAGTTGGTGAAGACCCCCAGAACTTCATTGATAAGGTCAAGAAGATCTTTGGAGTGATGCAAGTGACTGGAAATGATAGGGTAGAGTTG